GGAACGTTCATTGACAGCATTAGTGTCTTCTGTAGGTTTATATGAATTAATCCCTAAGCCCTATGATCTCACAATAAATACAAGATTTCTATTGTTTTAGCCACACTGACCTTGACCCTAGACCTTTCGACCCCCAATGCGATAGGCTCCTTAGGATTGCAAAGGACAATCCACAAACCAAATTTGAAGTTCAAATGTAAAGTATATCTCAAGTTATCATGCTGACAAAATTTCTTTTGTTTTTGCCACTGTGACCTTGACCCTTGACCTTTTGGCCCCAAATGCAAAAGGCTTCTTAGGATTGCCAAGGACAATCCACAAACCAAATTTGAAGTTTATATGTAAAGTATATCTCAAGTTATCGCGCTGACAAAATTTCTATTGTTTCAGCCACTGTGACCTTGACCCTTGACCTTTCGGCCCCAAATGCAGTAGGCTTCTTAGGATTACCAAGAACAAAACACAAACCAAATTTGAAGTTCATATGTAAAGTATTTCTCAAGTTATCGCGCTGACAAAATTTCTATTGTTTCAGCCACTGTGACCTTGACCCTTGACCTTTTGGCCCCAAATGTAAAAGGCTTCTTAGAATTGCCAAGGACAATCCACAAACCAAATTTGAAGTTCATATGTAAAGTATATCTCAAGTTATCACGCTGACAAAATTTCTTTTGTTTTTGCCACTGTGACCTTGACCCTTGACCTTTCGGCCCCAAATGCAAAAGGCTTCTTAGGATTGCCAAGGACAATCCACAAACCAAATTTGAAGTTCATATGTAAAGTATATCTCAAGTTATCGCGCTGACAAAATTTCTACTGTTTCAGTCACTGTGACCTTGACCCTTGACCTTTCGGCCCCAAATGCAAAAGGCTTCTTAGGATTACCAAGGACAATCCACAAACCAAATTTGAAGTTCATATGTTAAGTATTTCTCAAGTTATCGCGCTGACAATGTTTGAATTAGGGTCTTTGCTTGGACAAAGATTGGTGTAAATGAATTACTGGCAAAGAGTCAAAAATGCCCTTTGAAAATCGACAATTGTTTTTAAATTTCTGTGTACAAAGTCTATGGGAAAATTAAATATTCAAAAATCTATAATAAATTAGTCGAAGACGTCACCACGACGTCAATCTTCGGGACACATCTTTGCCATAGGGACTATGCTTATGCTAAGTTTGAATGATGTATGGCAAAGATTAATGCCAAAAGTGGCACTGAGAAAAAACGTGCACAAAGTCAATGGCATTTGAAGTGGAACAAAAAGAAGAAGAAGAAGAAGAAGAAGAAGAAGAAGAAAGAAACTAGAACTGCATGTCTGTCGAAACAGAACACAGGGCTTTTTCGCTTTCTTTTATGTAGGAGAATATTTCTTCACCGCACAATTTTGAAGTGATTGCTATGAAGCCCGGGAAGGGACAGGGTGGAATTTTTTTTTGGAGTTTGCTAATTCGTTCACACGAATTACTAATTCGTTCGCACGAATTACTAATTCGTGGGAACGAATTAGTAATTCGTGGGAACGAATTAGCAAACTCCAGTAATTCGTTCGCACGAATGACCAATTTGTTCGCACGAACAACTCCAGTAATTCGTTCCCACGAATTAGTAATTCGTGCGAACGAAATAGCAATTCGTGCGAACGAAAAAGCAATTCGTGCGAACGAATTACTAATTCGTGCGAACGAATTAGCAATTCGTGCGAACGAATTAGCAATACGTGCGAACGAATGAGTAATTCGTGTGAACGAATTAGGAAATTCCAAAAAAAAAATCCACCCTGTCCCTTCCCGGGCTTCATAGATTGCCGTAAACTTCGCTAGAGACATCAACAGTATGACAATGTGGCGCTTGGAAGGTCCGCGCCCTCACGACCACGTGCGTGTGTGGTGTATGGGATTGGGAAGCAGGCGATGCCGAATCTGGTCAATGTACATGTATACACGCACACACTTGCGGTTAATGCTTGGATGAGTCGACTCGGCATTTTTTACTCTTTCTGCCGCAACTTGCGCAAGGGTATTTTTTGCCGACGCCGCGTCAACTGTGTGAACAATTTGACAAGCTTGGAACTTGGCACTGTTGAGGCAAATGTTTACGCTATCATTTAATGGGCAATTCAAGATTATATCTGTACGGATTGATTTTTTAGCAATTTTTGAAAAAGGAAAGGTCTTTTTAACGTAACTTCCGGTCTGATGACATCATACGCCTAAAACTTCGCACACGTCTTAAGTGGGTCAAGGTCATCATACACACTAATATTTAGGCGATTCCGACAAACTTCGCCACAGACATCTATTCGAAATACATTTTTGAAAATTTTCAACCTGTCGTTAGAGGGCGCTCGAAGATTGCATGACGTCATCGGTAGATGATTTGAAGAATACTATCAGCCAAGAGACTAACACAGTTGAAAGCAAGTTCATATCTTTTAACACTTTCATATAATAAGCCACTTCCGGTTTTGGCCTTTTTCGACCGGAAGCAAGGGTCACGTGATTGCACGCACACTGAATGAAATAAAGACCTCAACCTACTCTACCACTTGCCGGCAACTGAATGCTGCGGACGCGTACGGTTGATTTCTTATGTATTTTTAAATATTAAAAGTGTCAAAATTTAATTGCCTACATGTATAAATAAACACCGGATGACGTCATCATGACGTCATCATTACACAATGTTGTTTGAATTAGGGTCTTTGCTTGGACAAAGATTGGTGTAAATGAATTACTGGCAAAGAGTCGAAAATGCCCTTTGAAAATCGACATTTTTTTAAAAATTTCTGTGTACAAAGTCTATGGGAAAAATTAAATATTCAAAATTCTATAATAAATCGCGTGATGACGTCACCATGATGTAATGATTCGGCACACATCTGCAGGTGATGTTCTAAGTATGTGCCAGGTTTGAAGGAAATCAGAATTGCTTGAAGGCCAAAAGTGGTGTGTAGAAAAATCGTGTACAAAGTCTATGGGATTTTGTGCAAAAAAGAAGTGGAAGAAGAAGAAGAAGAGGAAGAGGAAGAAAGAAAAAAATCAGAACAAAAAGAAAGGCTTTTTCGCAAGAATTGCGAAAAAGCCCCCCAAAAAAACCAGAATAAAAAAAAAAGGCTTTTCCGCAACTTTGCGGAAAAGCAAAAAAAAAAAAAATAACAGCGTTGCTGTTGAAACCCCTCAGCCAGAGTCAAGTTATCATCCGGAAACCATTAACCTTTAACTCAACGTGGTGACCTTGACCTTTGGCCTTTGACCCCAGAACCAGTCCCAACATGCCTGTACCAATGGGAAACCCCCTACCGAAGTTAGACACCAACATTTCATTTCTAACTCAAGGTATCATTCGGAACCATTTACATTGAACTCACCACGGTGACCTTGACCTTTGACCTTTTGACCCCAAAACCAATCCCAACTTGCCTGTACCCAAGGGCAAACCCCTACCTCAGTCAGACACCAAAATCTCATTTCTAACTCAAGTTATCATCCGGAAACCATTTACCTTTAACTCACCATGCTGACCTTGACCTTTGACCTTTTGACCCCAAAACCAATCCCGACTTGCCTTCTCCCAAGGGGAACCCTCTTCCAAAGTTAGACACCAAAATCGCATTTCTAACTCAAGTTATCATCCGGAAACCATTTACCTTTAACTCACAATGGTGACCTTGACCTTTGACCTTTTGACCCCCAAAACCAATCCCAACTTGCCTACTCCCAAGGGCAACCCTCTACCAAAGTTAGACACCAAAATCGCATTTCTAACTCAAGTTATCATCCGGAAACCATTTACATTTAACTCACCACGGTGACCTTGACCTTTGACCTTTTGACCCCAAAACCAATCCCAACTTGCCTACTCCCAAGGGGAACCCTCTTCCAAAGATAGACACCAAAATCGCATTTCTAACTCAAGTTATCATCCGGAAACCATTTACCTTTAACTCACAATGGTGACCTTGACCTTTGACCTTTGGACCCCAAAACCAATCCCAACTTGCCTACTCCCAAGGGCAACCCTCTACCAAAGTTAGACACCAAAATCTCATTTCTAACTCAAGTTATCATCCTGAAACCATTTACATTTAACTCACCACGGTGACCTTGACCTTTGACCTTTTGACCCCAAAACCAATCCCAACTTGCCTTCTCCCAAGGGCAACCCCCTATCAAAGTTAGACACCAAAATCTCATTTCTAACTCAAGTTATCATCCGGAAACCATTTACCTTTATCTCACCATGCTGACCTTGACCTTTGACCTTTTGACCCCAAAACCAATCCCAACTTGCCTACTCCCAAGGGCAACCCTCTACCAAAGTTAGACACCAAAATCTCATTTCTAACTGAAGTTATCATCCGGAAACCATTTACATTTAACTCACCACGGTGACCTTGACCTTTGACCTTTTGACCTCAAAACCAATCCCAACTTGCCTACTCCCAAGGGCAACCCCCTACCGAAGTTACAACCCCAAACAACATTTCTAACTCAAGTTATCATCCGGAAACTAAGCTGCCCGGACGGACGGACGGAGGGACAGACAGACATACATCCGGACGGACGGACGCCCTAGGCGATGACAATACCCCTCGAGCCTCTCGGCTGAGGGGTAAAAATGAGACCAAAAACAAAGGCTTTTTCGCAAAAATTGCGAAAAAGCCAAAAATGAGAACAGAAAGAATGGCTTTTTTTCGCAAAATTGCGAAAAAGCCAAAAAAGGAAAAAAAAAACTTTAACGAAAACAAGAGCTGTTCCCAATTGAAATTGGGAACAGCTAAAAAAAATAGAAATGTGTTTGCGGGCAATGCCATGTGAAAAGAAATCTCTTCCTGGAAGAAGTATGGATCTGAAAAGAACCGGTTTTCAAGAAGAGATCTCCCTCCACACGGCGCCATCCGAAACCCTTTTCACTTTAAAGCAAGAGATGAGAAAAAATGTCAACCCCCCCCCCCCCCCCCAGTTAAAATACACAAAGAACTAAAAGGACCCAGTACAGTTACTGTGGTCGGCAGAGGTGGCATCTTAGGGAATTGATCCAGCTATTTAATGACATTTCAACAACGCCAGACCTCAGAGATTCCGGTAGCTCGTCCCATTCACGAGCAATATGCACTAGAAAATGGAATACGACATAAAGACAATGTAATAATATAGCAAGGCATTTCGAAAAAAATTTAAATGCCCCCCCCCTCCTAAAAAATAATAATAATTGCATAAAAGTACATTACAGTTAAAAATGGAAACTGCCAGCATGGTTGCATCTCTAAGGAATTAGCTGATTTAAAATAAATTCTTAAAATTTGGGCCAAATTTGCCGGATTCAGTGACCCAGCAAGATTAGCTGTCCAAATGCGCCATCACCACGGACTGCGTGTCAAAAGGAGTGGTAGATCTATATGAAATAAATTGTTCACAAGAAAACGTGTTTGTTGTTAACTTAATATAAGCTACCCTGAGCCAACGTGTGTTAAAATCCCAATGCATAGTTAAAGTGGCTGGGCTCTACCTTCCTCAATCACGCGAGTATCCTGCTAGACCTCCCGCTGGATTTGAAAGGGCCGGCAAGGGTTTAAAGCAGGGAGAATGTGTGATTCCGCTGTTCCCATTCCGGGAGGGTTGGATCGATTGGTTCTTTCAGTGTCCTTTCAGTGAATGAAGCATTTCCTGCTGCATCAATAAGGATAACAGTTGTGGTCCTGAAAAAAATGTAAAAAAGAAAGAAAGAATAAAAAAACTCAGAACAATTTGTCCCCCCTCAGTCTCAGTCCCCCCCCCATTGTCTCCCCCCAACTGAACATTTGTAAGTCCTATCAGCAACCATAGTTTACATGTGTAACAGAAATTGGGCACACCCCACTTTAATCCAGCCCCCTTCCCCCTCATACAAACTTCAAATGCAATGCCTGTTTTAAATAGGAGTACATACCTTGTTCCACATGTGTTTGACTTGATGAACACCAATTCCTTCAGTATTTCTTTGAACTTAGTGAAGTCCATGTCTTCTGTGGAAATGTCTGCACAGGGCACAAGCCTGGCAAGCCAACAACATGTATTTGTATTAGGGGTGTGCATCGGAACCGGGTACCCGAGTACACGACCGTTGAATTCAGGAACCGGTTCCAGATTATGGGATCAGGTACCAGTAACCAACTTTACAAATTACTTAGCAACTTCTCAGACAATGAAAAGGGAAGATTTGGAATGCCATTTGTGTGGAATTTTTTAAATGAAAACCAGGCTGTGTGCATTTTAAGGCACGTCAGATGACGCTCGTGACAGTTGCAGTTTAAACCGTAACGCTACCGTTAAAGACCGTAAAGACCTTCAGACAACTTCCAGGATTTGAACTTTGGGGTTGGGTTTCTTTTACGGATACCCGGGTACCCGTGTTTTTTACTTCAATAGGGTACCCGGTTTCTGTAGTACCCGTAACTGCACAACACTGATTTGTATTTTAGGAAGCAACTAAAAACATGGAACATTCCTGGTCCATCTGCAACGCTCCTATGGGCACACGGTGTATTGAGATATGAGAGAGGTAGCTGCTGTTATATCTAAATATACGTAGTCTCTAGATTTGAAACCCCAATTACAAATCTATAATACTGCATAATTTTTCATGCAGGCATGCAACTGGGAAATAACAACAAAAAAGAAAATTCCAAGTATTATAAGACTTTACACAGTGTTTGTCAATTTTTAACAGGAGGGGGATGCTACTTGTCCTTACTCGTAGCAGAAACAGCTGAATTGCGAAGGACGCGGCTACAACGTGGTCGAGCTAAAGGCATGTCAAGCTTAAAGGCAACAGCCATACGACCCATGTCTGACCACGGATCACAGCCAGAGATCGAAAGTGTTGATTTTTGCGGAGGGAGAAAGACTGGAGAGCCTGGAGAAAAACCCTCGTGGCACAGGAGAGAATCAATGAACAACTCTACTCACATATGACCTGAGCCGGGAACGGAACCCGGGCCCAGCAGTGAGAGGCATAAGCATAAAGTAAAAAAAATCAGCTGATCTGAGAAAATATTGCCAGCCTGCTTATGACATCATACTAATTGCATCCAAACTGTTAAGCTTAATGTAGTGGCAGCACATTTTTCACTACATGCACGGACTGAATGAAACACAAAAGATGATGTCACGGAAATTCCATCTACATAATTCTAGTACAGAATATGCAAGAAATGCATGCAAACTAATAATGTATGATCATGTACAGGGTGACCGAAAACAAAGCTGTGCAAGCAGATATCGTTAATTTCTCAAAAAGTATCTAACATGAGTATTTCATTTTGATGGAGGACATTAATTATACTGTTGTGTATAATCAGTGAAAATGTCATGGAAATCCATTCATGCAAACCAGAGCTGCAACAGATTATAGAAGGATGTGTTTTTCAACCATTCCAATGGGAATTACACATCGCATTGGAAATCGATCAACCGTAACTCTGCAATGGGTCTTTTCATTAACTGTGTAACAGCTGTGTGGTTAATAATAATAATAATAACGGAGTCTTATATAGCGCACGTATCTACCAACAATTAGGTACTCAAGGCGCTAGAAATTATGTCAATTATTAAAGAAAGGTAAATAAAGGGTGATTTCTAAAAGGTTACGTAACACTTTATTTTGAATGAAACTACATGTACACAGACATGTTCACGTTGGCAGGCGATCCTCTTCAAAATTTTCCTTGGAGATACATGTAGTTCAAGGTGTAACACTGGCGTTTGCAACAACAGATTATTAAAGCTGAAGTTCAGAATATACTTAGATCACTTAAGTGTTCAACTACTCCAGAAATAACAACTTGGAGAAATCCCTAGAAATTGATATAAATACACAGATTTGGGGAAATTCTCGAACGATTTCTTCCAGACTTGAAGGTCAGCTTTACCAGTAACCAGTATTGACGTTTTGGCATCGATGATGGCGATTTTTTCACTGACATGAAGTTAAAATTTCTTCTTCCGTTTTAATTTAACATGTCAATCATACTGAGCATATTTTCTGAGAAACACAACGTTCAAAAGGCCATTTTTGGGGGTGCATGAATTTCACTGCTCTGTTACAGTGTCTACGTACGTAATCGGATTAGCTTTGCTTAAATCAACGATATACGCTATGCCTTCACAACCATATGGCTGGTAAATCAAACTGGAACGGATAAAAAAGACTTTGCCATTTATGATCTGTTGTAATTCTGGTTTGCATGAATGGATTTTATCAAATTTTTGCTGTGATTATAAAGAAGGGTACAAACAATACACTCCAACATGAAATGCTGATGTTGGATACTTTTTGAGAAATTTAAAGACGTCAACTTGCACAACTTTTTTTAGGGTCAACAAAGAGAGATATACATTGTATACTTACGGTACATCGCGTGCCATCATTGCCATTAACTCTCCTGTTAGTTCTTCTTTGGAAAGGCTGTGTGCCTTTTGGACGATTTTCTCGAGTTCTGTTCGTACATGATCTGTCCTTGGCCATGACGTGTTGATTGTGTGGTTTGAGAATGTATGTATACCTGGAAAACAAAGAATGAAGTTTTAAAACCAGTTAATGCTGTGGCCTAGTGGTCTGGAGCATTGAATTTGTGGTCTGCGGGTAACTCTGCAGGTTGTGGGTTCAAAGCCAGACTGGGGTTGTGGTGCGTGTGCCCTTGGGCAAGGCACTTTGTAACTCATTGCTTCTCCCCACCCAGGAGTAAATGGGTACCTGTGAGGGCAGAGATTGTTATTGTGGTTGATTTAGCTGCTTTGTGCCGAAATGGCAGCATCGAGCTGTATACTCCCCAGGGAGCTAAGCATGGGCGTCGCGAGGGGGTGGGGCAAGGGGGCACTTGCCCCCCCCCCCCCCCTGGAAAAGAAAAAAAGAAAGAAAGGAAGAAAAAAAGAAAAAGAAACTAGAGATGTGTTTGTGGACAAACACAAGCTGTTTTGGCTTTTTTTATGTGACAAGGACATGAGAAGATGACTTCAATTAGTGCATGTAAAATTTCATCGCAATCGGTCGAATACTTGCAGAGATAAAGGGCCATGATGCACTGTTAGGGTGCCCCCACAAGAGAACTGATGACATAATCACGACTTATGATGCACTGTTAGGGCGCCCCACAAGACAACTGATGACGTAATCACGACTTAACCTATATGTTCCACATATAGCACATTCCAGTATGCAAGGTTAGGGCGCCCACATATGACGACCACGGAAGGGATGATGACGCCACTTACATTTTCACACATAGCACTTCCCAATATGAGGGCAAAGAAAGTTTCAACCCAATCGGACCCATGCATAAGATATAGGGCGGCAAATGATGCCATGGTAGGGCGCCCTCACATGACGACCGATGATGTCCTCTTGACTTCACCTATATTCAGGTGTATAACTTATCCAAGTTTGTGTGAATGCAAATTAATTAACCCTTACCCTACTAGACCCTCCAACGCATGCCAATTGTGCCTCAAGAAAATCTCCTATGTTTTTTGCATGGCCCTCCAATATCTGCCATGTCATTTCAAGGGTAACTGGACAGGCACTCCAATACATGCCACAGAGAACAATGAGAGTCCTCTGATAACAATCAAGTGCCCCCAGCTGGTCAGTATCAGGCACCCTCCAGGGCCTCCAACTCCTGCCAATTGGAGCCTTCACTGCTACATCAAAGTATCCTCCAATAAACTGCAGCTGGAGGGCATTGGCATAACCAACTGACATGCAGTAAACTACCCTCAGAGAGTAAGGGTTAAGTTTCAACCCAATCGGACGCATACATGTAATTGTGGAGATATTAGGCTAGAAATGATGCAAAGTGAGAGCGCCCTCACATGACAGCTAAGGACATCACGATGATTTCAGCTATATTATCAAATACATGTATAACAGATCCCAATATGAGAGAATGCCAATCAATCCAATCGGACCCATACTTGCGGAGATATGGGGCTGCACATCATGTAAAAATAGGGCGCCCTCACATGAGAACCGATGATGTCACAATGACGGCACCTATATTTTCATATGAAAGACACCCCAATGTGAGGGCATGCAAAGTTTCAAGGCAATCAGACCTATACATACAAAGCTACAGGGCTGCAAAGAATACAAAGCTAGGGCGCCCTCAATGACACCTGATGACGACAACATGACGACAACCTTCTAAGACCATCTGGGGCTGGTGATATGTGTGTCTGCCAAGTCTGAAGTCAATCAGATCTATGAAAAAGCCAAAATGTACTAATTGAAGGAAAACGTGTACAAAACCTATGGAGAATCAAACATTTTAGTTCTGTAGATCATAGACCTATAAAGGAATAAAATGCCGCTTTAAGGGACTTCACATGACATTTGATGATGATGTCATTTCAATTTCAATCTATAACACATCCATGTCAATATGCATACCAAGTTTTAACCCAATCAGACTTGTACTTCCAAAGTTCAGTTTGAAGAAAAACGTGTACAAAACCAATAGGGAAATAATGCATCTTTAATGTGATGTAACCTGACACCTGATAACGTCACGATCACGAATTTCTTCAAGGACCATCTGTGGGTGATGGTCTAAGTATGTATGAAGTCGGAGGTCGATCGGATTTACGAAAAGGCCAAAGTGGAGTGTTTGAAAACGTGTACAAAACATATGGGGAAAAATGCATCTATGTGACGTAACCCGACACCTGATGACGTCACGGTCACGAATTTCTTCTAGGACCATCTGTGGGTGGTGGTCTAAGTATGTACCAAGTCTGAAATCGATCGAAGTGGACTCCCAGAAGAAACGTGTGTTAAACCTATGGAGAAAAAGTCTGAAAAAGGAGAAAAAAAAACTAGAGCTGTATGTCTGTTTGCAAACAGAACACAGGGCTTTTTCGCATTTTACAAATATTTGTTTCGTTTGTCCTTTTGCAGTCACTTTTCAGAGTGCTTCATGCAGTTAAAGGTTGTTCAAAACGCTTAGAATAATTCCTAAAGTATAATTTTATCAAATGATGTCACTTGCCCTGCAATGACGTCATCCTTAAGACCCTTCTCAATGCACATTTTGTCATTGCGATTTTGGTTTGAACCAAGTTTAATGTCAATCCGATGAAAGAAAGTGTGCAATTTGTAGAAACAGAATAAAATTATAAATATCTAAAAAATATAAAAACCAAACGATGACGTCATCGTGACGTCACTTTAAAATTTGTATACTAGTACCATTATTTACCTACACACTAAGTTTCATGACAGTCAGACCTTTCCTTATATGTATTTTTAGAAATTGCATTTTTATGAGGTCATATTGATGTCAGATATTTTTTTTCAAAATTTTGTGCAAATACCTTTTACCTAACAGACCAAATACACAAAGAATTTTGAATTTTGCATGTTACGTTCATGAGATATGGCTAAAAGGTCAAAAACTTCAAACATTCATATAAAATCTCCGGATGACGTCATCGTGGTGTCACCTATTTTTTTTTACCTATAACACATCCTGGTCTAACCGCATACCAGGTTTCAACCCAATCAGACTTAGGGGCCATTCAGAATGTTCAATGTTTTAAAATTTCGACTTTTGTTCCAAATTATTTTGACCCACCCACCCACTCCTAATTTCGATTAATAAAAAACTGAACGTGTACATGCACTTGCACTTGCATGTACATATACTTGAACATGAACATGTATACCCATGTACATGTGTGTCTAGTTCAGTGACGGCGTGAAGTTGTCGGTCTTCCTCTTTTGCACTGGTGACCTTCAGTTTTCTTGTGTTTTGCCAGCTGATATGCTGTTGGGAATGACAGGTTGCAGTTTTGGAAGCCACAAAGATGACCGTGGTTTTGTCGTTTTCTGGATGAGGTGGATGACATGTGACATACGATGTTGTGCCTGTCACGTGAGGTAGCTGAGAAAAACATTCGCTTGTACCCCCCCCCCCCCTCGCCCTGTTTGCAGGGCGGCCGGGGTACGAGCGAAAGAAAAACATCAGGTTGGGCAGACATCACATCACAGGCTGCGGTCCTCGTAGTCTTGGAGTCCAGTCCAGTTTTTATAGCGATTGGTAATCGACGCCCGCGGCGTGTTATAGAGCCGATCTAGTACACCTGGTACCCTGCTGCCTCTGCACGGCCCAACCGCTACAAACGCCCGGCGTCCAAGTCTACTGAAAAACCTCTCATGCCACAGTGGGTCTATATACACGTACATGACCAGTACATACAGGGGACGAAGTTGGAAAAGAAACACGCATCGCGATATTGGAACGCTTGCGCGTAGTTCAGGCAACTCAAAAGACCTATCTTTCTTTTCTTTTTTTCTTTTTCCATGGAATGTTTCTTTTTCCATGGAAAGTGAATTCCGATTTTCAATTATTTAGCTTGACCCACCCACCCACAATTTGGAAAAAAGATCGAAATTTTAAAACATTGAAAATTCTGAATGGCCCCTTACAGTTCTGTAGATATAGGACTTCATAATATGCTCGTAAATTTTCAAAAATCAATAAAAACAAGTCAGGTGTGTTTACAAACACAAATGCCCCGCAACCGTGACTGTTTCCATGACATAACACCACTCTAACATCAACTTACATGTACCTTGGTCAATGGAACGTTCATTGACAGCATTAGTGTCTTCTGTAGGTTTTATATGAATTAATCCCTAATCCCTATGATCTCAGGAAAATACAAGATTTCTATTGTTTTAGCCACTGTGACCTTGACCCCTGACCTTTCGACCCCCAATGCGATAGGCTTCTTAGGATTGCCAAGGACAATCCACAAACCAAATCTGAAATTCATATTTAAAGTATATCTCAAGTTATCACGCTGACAAAATTTCTTTTGTTTTTGCCACTGTGACCTTGACCCTTGACCTTTTGGCCCCAAATGCAAAAGGCTTCTTAGGATTGCCAAGGACAATCCACAAACCAAATTTGAAGTTCATATGTAAAGTATTTCTCAAGTTATCGCGCTGACAAAATTTCTATTGTTTCAGCCACTGTGACCTTGACCCTTGACCTTTCGGCCCCAAATGCAATAGGCTTCTTAGGATTACCAAGAACAATACACAAACCAAATTTGAAGTTCATATGTAAAGTATTTCTCAAGTTATCACGCTGACAACATTTCTTTTGTTTTAGTCACTGTGACCTTGACCCTTGACCTTTTGGCCCCAAATGCAAAAGGCTTCTTAGAATTGCCAAGGACAATCCACAAACCAAATTTGAAGTTCATATGTAAAGTATTTCTCAAGTTATCGCGCTGACAAAATTTCTATTGTTTCAGCCACTGTGACCTTGACCCTTGACCTTTCGGCCCCAAATGCAAAAGGCTTCTTAGGATTACCAAGGACAATCCACAAACCAAATTTGAAGTTCATATGTTAAGTATTTCTCAAGTTATCGCGCTGACAAGATTTGTCTGGACACACACACCCACCCACCCACACACCCACCCACCCACACACCCACCCACCCACACACCCACCCACCCACACACCCACCCACCCACGGAAGGACAAGGCGGAAACAGTATGCCCCTTCGGCTTCGCCGCGGGGCATAAAAATTAGGTGATGACGTCATCATGACGTCATAGTCTTGGCATTATTTTTGTATGAGGGTCTTCCTTAGCTGTAACATTGATGGCAATTCCAGATCGCCAAGTTATAGAAATGGTGGCTTGAAAACGTGTACAAAGTCAATGGGCTAACACGTGTACAAAGTTAACGGGCTAAAGAAATCCCACTGCAGAAAAATTGCACCTTTAAATTTGTAATTTGCCTTTGAACTGAAACATTTTTATGAAATATTACTTGATATTCTGACCCTTAGGAATATGTTCAATTGAATGACAGCATGAAAAAAATACGATATCTCTTTCCTTCTCATAGTAATTCTCGGCTGAAGTTCAGAACTACTCAGTAAGATATCAGTGTTGTATAGGAAAAGACTTGTGGAAAATCCCACTGCAGAAAAACTGCACCTTTAAATACCTAACATAGGGCTTTTCGGCATTATGTTTTTCTATTATACGTCCCTGACTATGCGCATGCATGAACATAAAATCTGTCAAAGTTAGCCGACAATCGGCTAAAACGGCCACTGTGATGTGGACAGGATTTGACCTCGGCAACACGTGCTCTGCAGGCTGACTGACATACGATGTATCGACAATTAAAGTAAAAACTAACATAAAAACTGCCATGGTTGATTTTTCAGGAAAAAGGGTCATTTTATTATAACTTCCGGTCTGATGACGTCATTCGCCTAAAACTTCGCACACGTCTTAAGTCGGTCAAGGTTATCATATTCACCAATATTTAGGCGATTCCGACAAACTTCGCCACAGACATCTATTCAAAATACATTTTTGCAAATTTTCAACCTGTCGCTAGAGGGCGCTCGAAGATTGCATGACGTCATTGGTAGATGATTTGAAGAATACTTTTAGCCAAGAGCCTAACACCGTTAAAAGCAAGTTCATATCTATTACCATTTTCAAATAATAAGCCACTTCCGGTTTTGGCCTTTTTCGACCGGAAGCAAGGGTCACGTGATTTCACGCACACTGAATGAAATAAAGACCTCAGCCTACTCTACCACTTGCCGGTAACAGAATGCTGCGGACGCGGACGCGTACGGTTGATTTCTTATGCATTTTTAAATATTAAAAGTGTCACAATTTAATTGCCTATAAATACACACCGGATGACGTCATCATGACGTCATCATTACACAATGTTGTTTGAGTTAGGGTCTTTGCTTGGACAAAGATTGGTGCAAATGAATTACCGGCAAAGAGTCAAAAATTCCCTTTGAAAATCGACAATTTTTTCTTAAATTTCTGTGTACAAAGTCTAGGGGAAAAATTAAATATTCAAAAATCTATAATAAATTAGTCGTTGACGTCAAGATGACGTCAATCTTCGGGACACACCTTTGCTATAGGGATTATGCTAATATGCAAACTTAGAATGATGTATGACAAATATTAATGCCAAAAGTGGAAGCCAGAAAAAACGTGCACAAAGTCTATGGGGTTTAGGTGACAAAAAGAAGAAAGAAAATGAAGATGAAAAAAAAAAAATGAGAACAGAAAGAATGGCTTTTTTCGCAAAATTGCGAAAAAGCCAAAAAAAAAAAAAAAAAAAGAGAACAAAAACAAAGGCTTTTCCGCACTATGTGGAAAAGCCAAAAATAGAAAGCCAAAAATCTTAACGAAAACAAGAGCTGTTTCGGTGTGTACACCGAAACAGCTAAAAAGAAAAGAAAAAGCAGCGCGAAGTCATAGTGGTGTAAATTTAATGAGTTGGGGGGGGGGGGCAAAATGTCCCTGCCCCCCTCTAAAACTGAGAAATCGAGAATGTGTTGAGAAATACAGGCATTTTTTTGCAAAAATATGTTTTGCCCCCCTCTAGAGAAAATCCTGGCGACGCCCATGGAGCTAAGATTGTATTTGGAATATTTCATTGGCCTAAGATCCTGGGTAATAATAATGTAAAGTGCTTTGATATTAGTTAAAATCAGTATTTATTACCTGTTATTAATAATTGTATTAATTATCAAATCTTAACTTTATCCATCAATGTCCAACATTGTCAATGCAACTCGAGTTCCGAGTCCAAGTCACAGAAAATGGGTCTCGAGTCGGATTGGCTAACCCCCCCCCCCCCCAAAAAAAAAATCCATAAAAAATGTAAGAATGTGACGTACATGCGAACGTTCTCACCCAAAAGAAAATAGTGAGAAGAGTGCATTGGACACTTTTAGTTAATATAGTGTGCCTGATTGTAGGATGTTATCAGTGCGCCCCATTGAAAATATGGCACGACCCCCCCCCCCCCCCCCCCCCCCCCCACCTATTGATTTTCGGAGGCTTAAGTGTCCGGAGAAAATAACCGGTCTACACTTCAGCACGCCTCCCTGAAAAAAATTCTGGATCCACCCTGCTAGCTCCACCCAAAAAAATGTTGGCTCTAGAACCGCGCCTGCTACAGGTTTGTGCAAATTTACATGTACATTAAAACTGGCTAGCGCACTGCATATCTTTCACTTGCCCAAACCAGTGCTGTGCAGTGCACATTATGTGTACATTTTGTACTTGCATAAAATACAGTTACTCCACAGAGTCCATATTTTAAGTCAATATATTAACAAGCATATAAGTCTAAGAAACAGCAACAACCTCGGTTCAGTTTGATGGGGTCTTTCCACTCCGGGGCATAATTTGTGTAGTAGTTAGCATCTATGCTTCCCTTATTCCTGAAAACAAAAGTCAAAGTAAAAATAAAAACAATGTGAAATGCGATTTTGGGTTTTGCTCTTCACCAACGTATGTTATAAACACTGTACGTTCAGTGTTGTCTAGAGAGATTGCGCGCTAAAGTCACTCGGATGGGACTCGAACCCACGACCTTCTACTTTCTAGAGCAGACGTCTTACCACTCAATCACCTTCTTATGATTGTGAAATGCAGAGATTATTTTTACAGCACGACTTTCTGTCTTGCCCAATGCAATTTTTGTTTAGCATAGCCTGGCTTCCTTACCCAAGTTCCACAGTGATGAGATTGAAGCCGTTGTATGAATCGCATTCCTTTGCTATGCCTTGGAGGTAGGTCTGGCCATCCATGCTACCTTCCAGAAAGTCCGACACAAGGAAGCCTGTGTGAAAAGAAAAGCGCAGAGCCATTTGAGAAATTTTATTGAAAACTTTCTAATTACAATTCAATGCCAGACACTTTAAAAAGTCCCAAGGGAAAATCCTAGATTTGGTAACATTCCAAGAAAATGGAAATGTGCCAAACTCTGCTACATTGTTCCAACCCTACCAGTTTTTTCTTCACTTTCCTAAAAATTTTTTAGGACTCATGATTTCCAGAACTTCCTGACATTTTCAAAAGGGAAGATCCAAAAACTGTTCACCACCCCATTTCTTTTAACCACCCAAAACATTTCCAGTTAATAACACTGGACTAAAGTTGATTAATTTTTTGTTCAACAAAGAAGTTTCAATATTTATCTCCCAAACAGTGTACATGTATCTGTACCCTACCGATTGAGCTATATCCAGCTTCGTGTTAGGCCAAAAAAAAAGTCTTCCGTTTCTGGTATGGAGCTTGCCCCAAAAGTGGTGCGGCAACACAGCTTTTTTTTCTATTTTTTTTCTTCAAATGTCGGCTGATGACGGCATATGGTGCCCAACTAAATTGACAATATATGGGAGCCAAGAGAGGCCACATAAAGCTTATACTCGATCATAACCCCATCTAAAAACATGTTAAAATTGTGCAGCAGCAGGATTCCAGTCAAACCAGTGAGCTTGGTGGTTTTGAGACATCATCTTACATTGAAAACAAATTTTTTTAATGTTGCTGACGCGCATGGCTACGGCGACGCGCGCGCATACCAGAAACCGGAGACTTTTTTTCTGGCCTTAGGGGGATCCCTATTTTGTTTACGATTATTCTGATGAGGGCTTATCAGATGTGAAAAGTGACTCCACGTTTCTGTGTCTATCTACACGTTTATTTGGCTAGTTAAGAGTCTGTTTCAGTAGCCTGATAAGTTCGAACCCTGCACACCAGTCAATGTTTCCAGAATTTGCTGTGAGCCCCACCCTCGAGTGATTTGTGTACATTTCTCACGGTGCCTTTGACAGAGTTTGACTGAGCTGTTGTGGTCACCAGACAAAAACTCATGATCTAATTGGTCAATGCATACTCTTTGATTGATGGGCAGGTGGGTCACCTGTTCAACATACTCACCTCTTCCTTTAGCATCACGGTTAATCCCTTCAGGTTGAAGGATATTCAGAAGCATGGCCAGCCTGCCTGATCGGCTCATACCTAGCCAGGTACCTCCCTCCTTGCCTACAAACATATCCTGACCTGAAAAACACAAGAACTAATGAATGAACGGAAATGTGAAGATCTAAAGTTGAAGCCCTACGGCCAAGGGAGGGTGTGGTTCAGGGGTTCGGGTTTGTGACTCATGATCAGAGAGTCAGGGGTTCGAATCCAGCCGCTGGTCATACGCTGTGTCCTTGGGCAAGCCACTTCACCCCCACTTGCCTCTGTCCACCCAGGAGCACTGTGGGGAGTGCGGCCTCGTGGTTATAGGTTCGTGACTCATGATCAGAGAGTCAGGGGTTCAAATCCAGTTGCTGGACATGTGTTGTGTCCATGGGCAAGCCACTTCATCCCCACTTGCCTCTCTCCACCTAGGAGTGTAAATGGGTACCGGCATTAGCTGGGGAGAAACCGGCGATAGACTAGCATCCCGTCCAGGGGGAATAGAAATATCAGGCATGCAACTGGGAATTTAGAAAAACATGTGGAAATCCCCAACCCACACAAGACTTTGTGCAGTATTTTTCAAATCGTAATGACATTCATGCGAAGTGAAAAACGAGGACATCAGCAGATCCACGGAAAAGTTGCATGCCTGAAATATTCTCAGTAGTTTCATGCTACTGAAACCAGAAATAAACGCCGGCCTGATGGGCCACTTTGGCTCGTGACAGACTTAACTTGTTCTTTTTTTTTATCATGCAGCCTAGACAATTATTGTGACAGAATGGCACTTTAGTAAGCCACTTAGGAGTTATAACAGACGAACAACCGGTCAGTTTTCAATGATTCCAAAATTACACTTTTCCAATCTCAAATTTGTGTCCGTCAGAGAGAGGGCCATTTCAGCTGGAATCCTCTTTTACTTGACCGATCGACTCATTGACTATCACTTGGAAATGGTTATTATACAAATAATGTTAATGAGAGCAATGGTAAGAATAATTTCATGACGTGACAGATGGATTGTTTCATTCCACGGCAACAATGGCAACGCTGACTTTCCAGTACCCGGATCTAGGTCTAGCAGCCAGCTGGGGCCAATTTCATAGAGCTGCTTAAGCACAAAATTTGCTTAAGCACAAAAAAAACTTTGTTATACAATCAGGTTACCCACCAAAACTCCATACGATTGTTATGCTAAGTAAACAACAGCTAGTATACCAGTCACAAGCAATGTACATGGAATGGCGTTTTGGCCGGTGATGAACTGATTATAATAAGCAAGGGTTTTTTGTGATTTGAAAAGCAAATTTTGTGCTTAAGCAGCTCTATGAAATTGGCCAGAGCTCAGGTCACGTGGGTCAGTGAGGGCCCTCTATAGACATTTATCTTGCTGCAACATTTCAGTCATGTTCCCTGTATCCAATAACAGCGCTGAATGTTTTTTGTGCAAAAAGAAAAAGGAACCAGACTATTTTTCCTTCCAACCTCATTTTGGTTACGTTGATTTGAATGGAAAAATCAGGATGGCGGTAACATGATAATGGTCTATTGTGTATCGTTCAGATTTCTCCATCTTAGGCCCAAAAAAAAATAGTGGCACAATTGCAGAATACCCCGCCACTCGATCTATCCACCTCGTAGCCGGCTACGAGGTCACGGTTGATTGACCTCAATAAACATTCTCAGCGGTGCTTGAATGTACTATGCGTCATGCTCCATTGCACTCCCACTTCGTGACCGCGTAGCCGCCAACAGGGTACATGTAGTTGGTTTGGACTTAACATTTTTTCAGCAACTCCCATTCCTTTTGTGTTGCTTCGTTCTCAAGCATATTCAAGGGGACTCCCACTCCGTAGCCTCGTAGCCGCCAACAGGGTGGTTGGTTAGGACTTACAATTTTTTTCAGCAACTCCCATTCATTTTGTGTGCTTCGTTCTCAAATAATGGACCCCCACTTAGCCCAGGTTGGACGAAGTGTAACGTAGGGAGGAAAGGGAGTCCACCAAGGCTAGACCCCCACTCAGTATCCGCGTAGCGGGCAATGGACTTGAAATGTTTCTTTTGCAGTGATTCCAACCTCGTAGCCAGTGATTTTAGGGGTGTATTTCCGAGTGGTGGGGTATTCTGCAATTACTCCAAAATAGTTCTGCTTCCGATTACATGCCTTTCAAAAATAGGGTCGGTCGGTCGGAATTTTTTTTTTTTTGGCCAATTTTTTTTATGCAGATTGAATGGGGTATTCATTAAATTCAATTATATGCGAAGTTTTAGCCTGAACTATTTCTATTGCACTACGAAAGCTATACACAAAATGGCCACAAAAAGTGAATAAAACCTACCTTAATTATTGTCAATATATTTAAGTTCGATAATTCGTAAAAAAAATTGTGGGAAATTCAGGTCGTTCGCACCATAGGCACAACGCTAGTCAAGAACGGGAGCTGGCCAAAACTCCGAAGTGTGTGATGCACTGTACATGTACATTTGTACATGTGTGGCCCGCGGCCAACGGGTCGAACATTTCAGGAAACACGCTGCATTGTATCACTCCAAATACGAGTAGTGCGATCTCAAAATGAACTCTTGAACACGGAAAATACATACACAGACAAGCTAGATCAAACCTGTGAATTAACTTGCAAAAATGTTCTTTCTCCATCGGTGTTTTCTTGGCATTTTTACGATGTCTTTCTCAGCATTTTTACGATGTCGATTCTGACCAGTTGACAGAGCACGTGCCTGCGCCTGCATAGCCATGCTAGCGCTAACATAGCCTTTCGCCCAGGCCTTCGTGGCTTATTAGAGCGGAGGAGTTGCGAAGACCCGAAGCGACAGGAGCAAAGATTAAGTCAACACGCGCGAGTGGCAAAGCCACGAGGCCTTTTGCAACTTGATTTTGTTGAATTATTCATAGTTTTTATGCAAATAAGAAGCGTGCTGAAGGTTAACCAATCACAACGCGGATTTTGCCTAGTCGCTTCCATTTTTAAAAGAAGGGTGAGTAAGGAAAACGTAAGAGCAAATAACTGTAAAATAAGTTCATACCCTCAAATAATTTGTTGAAATACCTTTATAAGTAAAGTTAAAATAAGATAATGTAATAACAACTACGCAGTCACGATCTCGTGGAAAACTAGACTCGCATTTTTTGTTTTTAAATTTTGTGCAAGCATCCGACGTGACGCGTCAACGCGTCCGCGTCGACGCGTCCGGGTGGTAGCCACGCACGCACGAAAAGGCTGATGATTGGTTGGAATTTTGCTACCCTGTTGGGGTAGCAAAAATCGAGATTATAAAGAAAAACATAAGAATTTCTCGACAAGTTGCAAAAGGCCCTCGTGGCTTCGCCACTCGCATGTGTGGTCTCCCTCTCCAGTCGCTTCGCGTTCGCCGCTTTGAATGCGGGCAAGTTAAGCCACGATGGCGTTGGTGAAAGGCTAGCGCTAACATCGCTTAGACGTGCACAGACTAGTTACCGCATTTTCATAATTGGCTCCTGCGCGGCGCGGCGGGAACCAGTCGTCGCCGCGGTACCGATGGTTCGTGTACAAACCAGAATGAGCCAATAAGACAACAGCGCCGATGGTTTGTGCACTGACGTATGACAGATACAACCAATGAGAGAGCATACAATCACTGGTGGTCATCGGCCCAGTGCATTGCCTAGCTCAGCTATCAGTGAGATTTACGTAACGTTGCGTAACAAAGTGTATGTGGGGGAAACTGTGGTCAGGGCCATGGCCCTGCACAAGGCCATGCATGTGCATGCTATCTTAATATGTTAATGTAACGTACACTTTGTACAGTTGAAACCTTATATTAATTGCTTCTATTTCCAGACATTAAGGTTTGCTGCATGCACTATAATATATTACTTGGACATGGTTGTATAGCAAGGACCTATGGTTGTACCATGGAGGAAGGAATAGAAAAATACAACTTGGAAAACGATAATCTATTAGATTATCGTAAACGAGAATATGCTGAAATGTAGCGCCCACTGAGAAAGAGAACTGGAGTTGTAATACATGCATGTCAACCGTGCAGACAAGTTCTGGGAGAGAATATTCAACCGACGGCGAGATTACTTACACCATGGAGGAAGGAACACCTCCATGCTTACACAAGCTAAAACTGTAAAAGATTTAATGTTTTCATATTCCTTGCTCTATGGTTATTCCAAATGGTCCGGCTGTGATTATTTTAATTAATCTGTTATTACTGATCATTTGTCAAACCTGTTTTATAAACCAACAAACAATCGATTTTTGTTCTATGCATTTTAACTGGACTGGTGGTATTACCATTAAATCCCATATTCAAGGCATAAATAGATATTTGTTGATGTTTGATGTAACATAGCATGGCGCCGCCACTGACGTGGTGTACTTTGCTTGTTCGTCTGTCGCGCTATCTAGAGCAACAGTTTTGTACTGAACCTTCACAAAAACCGGTATAATTTCATCGAGTTCTAAACACTCCCGTTCCTAAATCACGAGTTAATCCGATTCCTGTTACAAAGTTACAACAAAACATTATTTCGACATGATTTTCCTATTTTATTGCAAAGTGCATGGGTAAACCCTTTGAAAATATCCACCCAAAATGAGGAAATAATTTTCTGACAAACTTCTAGTTGGGTATATAAGTAGATCGAGATAATAATGGTTTATCAGATTTTATCAACTTTACAGAATTCTTCAATGGAATTTTCCGATATTTATTCAAGTGCGCCACGTTAGGGAACATTCAGCCGTTTGTGTGCCCAATTTCCGGATGCCACCGTTTTTGAATTTCGGAATATAATCTCATGACACCGAGATAGTATAAACCGCCGCAGTAATAAGGTGTAAATACCAGTATTTCACGGACTGAATTTGAAGTTTATCAACAAATAAGTTTGGCAACACTACATGAGGAAAGTCAAGGTAAACGTCGAAGTGTGCCAAGTTAGGAAACACCACTATGTAATATATTAAGGAATTGATAGGGTACTGGTTTTAAGAAATATTATTTATAGACTTTGAGCGCATTATTTTTAAATTAGAGATGAAGGAAGGGCATTTCCAAAAAGCAGAGCATGTCGAGTAGGAATCCCCTATAACATGAATTAATACATACATTTAATGAAAAAAGCAATTGCAAACAATTAAACATGTAAGCTGTACATGTCCCCCCCCCCCTCCACCAAAAGCAGTTCCTTTGCGCCACCATATTCCACGGAGCACACTTTCATGATATAATTTTAGAAATGTTGATACTGATTTCCGGGGCGGGGCAGATACGTGTTCCCTCACGTCCCCCTCATTTTGGCGACGGATAAACCTAACCCAGCGTAGTTTTTTTACTTTTGATGTAACGAAGGAGAAATCAAAAATGTGGGTTTTTTTTACCCTAAAAGAGCCGGGGGCGGAATTCGCCACCCCCTCGACTTTTTCCGCGATAGCCTTTAAAAATTTTTTTTCGCAACCTCAGCTGTTATGACTTTTTAGCCTCGAGCCTTGCGCATCTTTTGACAACAAAAAAATATAAAAATCATGCGCCGTGAAAACTGAATTTTCCCATATACGTAGCGTACACAAACCAGAATAACCATTCGTACATATGAATAATTAATTAGCCATAATTCCAGAACCCTTTGCCCTATAATCATGAAATTTCTTGGGTATATTTATGGAGAGTTGCTCTATGCATTTTCTTCGTCACTCGGGGGGGGGGGGGGGGGGGGCGTGAATTTGCAGCATGTTAGTGCCAAGAGAAGAAAGGGGTACGGGAAGGCAAAATAGGGGTGCGGGCGTGAATTTGCAGCATGTTAGTGCCAAGAGAAGAATAATCATTCGTACATATGAATAATTAATTAGCCATAATTCCAGAACCCTTTGCCCTATCATGAAATTTCTTGTGTATATTTATGAAGAGTTGCTCTATGCATTTTCTTCGTCACTCGGGGGGGGGGGGGGGGGGCGTGAATTTGCAGTATGTTAGTGCCAAGAGAAGAAAGGGGAATCCGTCCCCGGCTGTGAGATGGTCAAAATAACCCGGCCCCTTTAGGGTAAACCAAAGACTGCAAAAGAGGGATGCGGGCGCAAATTCGCAGCATGTTAGTGCCAAGAGAAAACAAATTGCGAGAAGGCAAAAGAGGGGTGCGGGTGTGAATTAGCAGCATGTTAGTGCCAAGAGAAGAATAATCATTCGTACATATGAACAATTAATTAGCCATAATTCCAGAACCCTTTGCCCTATAATCATGAAATTTCTTGGGTATATTTATGAAGAGTTGCTCTATGCATTTTCTTCGTCACTCGGCGGGGGGGGGGGGTGAATTTGCAGCATGTTAGTGCCAAGAGAAGAAAGGGGTGTGGGAAGGCAAAATAGGGGTGCGGGCGTGAATTTGCAGCATGTTAGTGCCAAGAGAAGAATACATATGAATAATTAATTAGGCATAATTCCAGAATCCTTTGCCCTATAATCATGAAATTTCTTGGGTATAAGTTTATGAAGAGTTGCCCTATGCATTTTCTTCGTCACTCGGGGGGGGGGGGGGAGGGGGCGTGAATTGGCAGCATGTTAGTGCCAAGAGAACAAAGGGGTGCGGGAAGGCAAAATAGGGGTGCGGGCGTGAATTTGCAGCATGTTAGTGCCAAGAGAAGAATAATCATTCGTACATATGAATAATTAATTAGCCATAATTCCAGAACCCTTTGCCCTATAATCAGGAAACTTCTTGGGTATATTTATGAAGAGTTGCTCTATGCATTTTCTTCGTCACTCGGGGGGGGGGGGGAGGGGGCGTGAATTTGCAGCATGTTAGTGCCAAGAGAAGAAAGGGGTGCGGGAAGGCAAAATAGGGGTGCGGGCGTGAATTTGCAGCATGTTAGTGCCAAGAGAAGAAAGGGGAATCCGCTTCCGGCTGTGAGATGGTCAAAATAACCCGGCCCCTTTGGGTAAACCAAAGACTGCAAAAGAGGGATGCGGGCGCAAATTCACAGCATGTTAGTGCCAAGAGAAAACAAATTGCGAGAAGGCAAAAGAGGGGTGCGGGTGTGAATTTGCAGCCCCGGCTGTGAGATGGTCAAAATAACCCGGCAACAATGTTACCAAGTGGGCAAATAATTGTTATTGAAAGACTTGGTTAATTCAATAAAAGTGTCAGTCATGCGTAATGCGCTTGTATGTATTTAGTGTATTTTGTACACTCCATGTTCCAACCTTTAATCATCTTAAAGTTACAATTATTCCTTAAAATATAGCATAAACAGTCATTTTACTCTTCTCTTCTCTGTATTGTTTTAGTGTTAATTTGTTGTCAACAGGTATACTGAATCTAATGCGTAATGTCAGCCACGGTAATGTCAGTCACAGAGGTTTATTTGCATATTAAAAGAAATCATGAAAGTTTTGCACATTTACTACATGTGTTGGTTACCCTATAAGCTAAAATGCTCGTATGGATTTAAATACGTAGACATTTTAACTTGAAAAGAAATTTGAAAAACATGTTTGACATTTTTTGGTTGCATTCGCTTTTTGTAATGTCAGTCACGACAGTAAACTACCACTCTAATTGGAAAAACTGAACATGAAATTTCAAATTTTCAATACCGTATTGTGTATTCAGGCCCCAGTAACTCCCATGCCAAACAATGGTTCAGTTGGCTTTAATTGTTTACACATAAGAGCTGATTTGATATTTAAAATTAGTAAAAATGTAATGTCAGTGACGGTCTTAGGCTTAGTGTAATGTCAGTCACAAAAAACGATGCTTTTTCCCATAAAAGCATTCAGGATAGCAATAAAAATCTGCCCGTCATTGTTTTCTTAGCACGGGGTCTGGGTATATTAACTTCTGTTGTTGACAGACGAGGCTATTTTAATTGGGTGTTAATTTGTTTGATATTAACAGGCATATTCATTCAAAAATTCATGATTCCCCCCCCCCCCCCCCCCCATCTTAGTACATGCGTTAGTAACCCTATTAGCTCTAATGTTCTAATGAATTTTGATCTGCAGCACTTTTAACCTGAAGAGAAATTTTAAAAACATTTTTGACATTTTTGGGTTGCATCGCTTTTTTTAATGTCAGTCACGGCACCAGTCAGGGCTCTGGAGTGCTCTGAAACGTGCAAAACTAAATCAGGCCAACTTTACTCACAGTTTAGCCAGCAAATTTCTCCAAAAATTCCACTGGGGCAAAGAAAATGTCCTCAGTATTTCACCAACCAAGTTTGCAGACTCAATTCAATTTTTAAAGGAGACTTTTCTTTAATATTTTGCACATGAGAGGGAAGTCAAGTGATTTCAAAATGGGGCTAAATACTAGACTGGTATACATGTTCAACCATGGTCCAACTATTTGAAAAGACTGACCTCTTCATTCAGAGTCAATAGTCTGGTGGCTTGTTGACTATGGAGAAATGTGTAGTAAATTGAGACTAGTTCCCGCTAGTTCCCGTTTTGGGACTCTCATACACAGTATTGAGAGTCCCAAATTTTCGGACTATCACGGCACTAAACAACCCCCAAGTCAAAAAAGCTAACCATGAAATTTCAAAGATTCAATACTGTATTGTGTATTTAGGTCCTAGTAACCCCTTTGCCAAACATGGTTCAAGTTGGGTGTAATTGTTTAGACATAAGACTAAGAGCTGATTTGATACATGTAATGTCAGTCACGGTGGAATTGCCCAGATAATGAAGACATTAAATCCTGTAGCTTATGTAGGTAATCTCGCCGTCGATTGAATATTCTCTCCCAGAACTTGTCTGCACGGTTGACATGTACATGTGAACTCCAGTTCTCTTTCTCAGTGAGCGCTACATTTCAGCATATTCCTGTTTAGATTTTCGTTCTCCAAGTTTCCGTACAACCATGTCCAACTAATATATTAAAGTGCAAGCAGCAAACCTTTGTCCAGAAATAGAAGCAAATAATTATAAGGTTTCAACTGTACAAAGTGTACGTTACATTAACATATTAAGATAGCATGCACATGCATGGCCTTGTGCAGGGCCAGGGCCCTGACCACAGTTTCCCCACATACACTTTGTTACGCACACATTCTCAAAATTGTATCCTTGTGGAGACATTCCTTTGTTCTCGTGTAGTAAAGTGTTGAATTTTGAAAGTGAAGTTTCAAAATGCTCTTATTTTAACCAGAATTAGTTTCCTTGGCTGAAATTTGGACTTAATATCCCTTTTCTAAAACTCTTCCATTTGCGACGGATCAACCCACCTCGGAAATTCCTAGTTTTTGAGTAAAAGCCATATATCTATTTCGTGAAAACCTTGTGGAGACCTATTCATCTATAGAAGTTGCCCTGTGGAGACCTTTACAATGTTTTGTTCCCTATTGTGTGTGTGTCTCCACAAGGATACGAAATTGTAGTCAACGTTACGTAAATCTCACTGATAGCTGAGCTAGGCAAGGCCACTGGGCTGATGACCACCAGTGATTGTATGCTCTCTCATTGGTTGTATCTGTCAGTGCACAAACCATCGGCGCTGTTGTCTTATTGGCTCATTCTGGTTTGTACACGAACCATCGGTATCGATGGTTCGTGTACATTCAATTAAATGTCACTTCTATCGAGAGTGTCCGAGTAATGACGGAGGTTTCTTTTGAAAAAATAGCGAATGTAAGTAAGAAAACAATAAATACAAGCATTTTTTTATGCAAAAGGGTTGTTGAGAGGTATTTTGTGAAGACAGACAAGACATAAGGTTTTTATTTTTATTTATTCAATCTTTTTTTGAGGGGGGGGGGGGGGGAATTGCCGATAAAATTTTTAGGGTCGCAGCCTAAAAATAGGGTCGGTCGGGTAACCGGAAGCAGAACTATTTTTTTTTTGGCCTTACCACTTATGATGTCAGAATTCGTGTCCCAAAACTCGGCTGGTTTGGTGGGCCTCTTGTAAAACTCATCTCGGTTGAAGGCGAGCATGAGACGATATCCGCCATTCCAGGGGTCTGGGTTTAACACAAACGCCGTCAGACACATACGTGCACTGTAGCGTCTTTGAATTCTCTGCAGAGTTCTTGAGGGAATGACGAGTTGGCACACAACATGAAGGTTAAACCAGTAACACTTTATTTAACTCTCTTTCAGCTGTTGTTGGTGCAGTGTTCGTAATCAACGGGACCTGTAAAAGAAGTGTTAAAATTACGATCTCTCGTGCCTTAGTTCCAGCAACTCCCCATTACTCCCAATTATTTAATTTTTAAAAACGTTTCCTAGAACTTCCTGGATTCTCATACAGCCTTGGGGGCAAGCTCACAATTTTGTTTTCCAAATTTCTCTTAGAAGTTTGAGTTTTGTCAAAAATTATTGCCTAAAATGATTTGCTGCAGGGGGCGGACTATTTTTACGTTGGTGGCAAATTATTGATGTTCAAATTTAACAAATTTGTCAATTCAAAGCATGCTGGATTATAGCTTGTGGTAATTTTTATAGATTGTATATATGCATTGTATATACCGGTAGTTTTGTTTTGCAATTTCAGTAAACGTACAACATACACATGAACCGGTATGTTTAACAAGAGAAGACAAAAAATCTAACAAATATAAAGAGAGAAACCAAATTAAAATTACAAAAAAAAACCCCGAAAAAAACATAGAAAATTAAAAAGGAAATCATTGGTTGTTTATTTTGCCAACCCCCAAGTGTCTATTCACCACCAGGCATTAAACCAATATAACCATAGCATTAAAATTAAATTATTTATTGATACATAACATTAAGTCATAATTTTGTTACAGTCATATACAGGGTGGCCCCCCCCCCCCCAAAAGAAGAAAACTACGTACTTTCGCTACCCTGAAACTCAAACAACCTCTACCAATGCATGGGAAATTGCGATAAAAGAAAAATGATAGCAAGATCGCCTGATTCGGTCCAGTAGTTTTTGTTCTAGAGCCTATTTTGTGAAACAACGTTTTGCGGTATTGATCATAACGCTTACAATTTTTGCTGCAGTAAACTATTACCCTTCCCCCCTTCCAAAAAAGAAAGAAAGAAAGAAAGAATTATGATTGTCTAATTGAAGAATTTATCTTTTAGTAAATTATTATCGAGTACGGCGAACATCGTCTAGAATGGAACAACCCTTAAGATTTGTTGCGAATGACTGATCCCGGTAGTCCATTGTGCAATCCACACGGACAAGTTCGTGTACGTGTACAGACATACAAGAGTCTCTTCTAGTCGAGTTTTAAAAAAGTTTGAAAAAATTAATTTAGGTATTTGTAGTAAACAAACACTCACCGGTGAACAGCGTACTTGCACGGTATAGTCCGATGATTGTTTTAACCATGGAGGAATTGTGTTAATAATAGATCAGAGAGCTAATGAATCCATGCGTTCTATACGGAGACCGATGGTCGATCACCCCTCGATGACCGCACCCAGTCGACTCTCATTATATTATAAAGAGCACTTTTATAAAGAGGTTCTGCTTATAAAGAGCAAATTCTGACGGAGGTCACAAATCTCAGGTTCTCTTTGTGTTTCTTTGTTTCGCTGTCCTTAAGCTCTATGGTCCCATCGACCTTGTTATAAAGAGAGGCGACTGTATTCTTCCACATTACCACCAGAACCATCTATGTACGTATGTGTACGGTGGTCGTAGAAAATTGTACAAACTTGCAGAGTCGGCTCACTCGGTACGGTGTGTACAGTATGTACACGTGACTGCATCCTACATGTACACATTGTATATTTACACCGTCCGATCAGATAGCGCTGTTTCCCTAATAGCTAATATTAATTAATAGCTATAATCCATAAAGACGTAATTCTTTCAAGACGTGTTCATTATATCGATTATCTTTCACCGACTGAACTATACCTGCATGTACAGTGGGGGATGGATTATTGAGCGTTCTAAATATCGATTGCCAGGAGTTACGCAACAGTAGTGAACGCTGACTCCCTTTATTGGACAATGGGACTTAATTGGCAGCGCACGGCATGTGCGGGAGCTTCAAAAATCTGTACGTGAAAGAAGTCAATGAAGTTGACTGACTAAACATGATTTCAAGCCTTAATACCCCTTTACCGTTGTCTGTACAGGAATGCACCGAACCAGTGTACCACCGTGCCGGACTTGTTTACAAAATCAAGGATATATATATATAACTAGGTCTTTTTGTGTTAATGCAATAGTATGTACTTCTATTTTATATTGAAGATTTAGAGTGTCATAAGGCAACTAACTTTTTTTACCCCAACAAAGTCCCAAAGTTGGACACGGTGCGTGATAAAGCCATACATGAAGCATTAAAGACCGTAAACATTTAGGGGATTATTGACAGGGCGTGTCCAAACACTAATTATATGACTGCTTGACAGTAGGGGTTTCCCAATGTTTAACTGTAAGACAACACCAACAAAGAAAAATACAACTGCAGAAAGTGTATACATGATAACATTATTGCTTGATTGACGTCATTTGTCAATGAAACACTCGTGTGTTTTTTAAATTTGTTTTTAAATGTATTCTTTGCAATTAAATCATCAGTGATATTAATGTAACGTTGACTAGTCTTTAATCGTCACTGTCTTCCTTGTTAACGTCATCTTCATCTAATTGATGGAACAGGCCGTCAAATTTGGCCTGGTGTTTAGATATGACCCGGCTGACAGCCGTGGGCAGTAGAATACCGGAATGATTGACTCTGTCTTCGATCTCGTCCACAATTTCTTGATGAGTATCATTATCTTTCAGATGTATGTAACTTGACGAAAAATCTTTGTATTTGTTGAAACATATTCGCTTGACTGCCCACAAGGTCTTCCTGTTGGCCTTTTCCGTGGCCTGATCTTCACTCATGCCCTCGTTGATGTACTTTTCATGTTTTTCACTCCACATCTCATCAATCGCTTCTTTTGCCTCTCCCAACCAGTCTAAATAGGCTGCATTGTCTTCCAAATCAGAACTGGACTCATCTTCATCAGATGATTCATCAAGATCTTCGTCTTCATCATACGTAGATTCAGTTTCATAGTTTTCCATTTCCGGATCTTCAAATCTACTGCTTCTAAATTCAGGTTCAGAATTATCCACCTCAACTTAGTCTATGTCGGATTCATCTTCAGCATGTGCATTTTCGGTATGTCTCAAGAGGTTAATCTCCGTCCAAAGCGTTTGTCACACTGGTGACAAGCATAGGGTTTGACTGCAGAAATAGTATTCATGTTGAAGCTTTGAAGGTTATTCTCCGAATGGTAAGGAACGGATGAAATCATTTAGTATATACATGTATCTACTTATTTGGTTATTCATTTCGTTACTCATTTACTCATTTCGTTACTCATTTACTCATTTCGTTACTCATTTACTCAGTTTGTTACTCATTTACTCATTTCGTTACTCATTCACTCATTTGCTACTCATTTGGTTACTCATTTTGTCACTTATTTGGTTACTCATTTGCTACTCATTCACTCATTTGCCACTCATTTGATTACTCACTCACTCATTTGCTACTCATTTGATTACTCATTCACTCATTTGCAACTCATTTACTCAGTTCGTTACTCATTCACTCATTTGCCACTCATTCACTCATTTGCTACTTATTTGGTTACTCATTCACTCATTTGCTACTCATTTCGTTACACATTTACTCAGTTCGTTACTCATTCACTCATTTGCTACTCATTTGATTACTCATTTCGTTACTCATTTACTCATTTCGTTACTCATTTACTCATTTCGTTACTCATTTACTCATTTCGTTACTCATTTACTCATTTCGTTACTCATCATTACTCATCATTTAGTCAAATGAGTAAATGAGTAACGAAATGAGTAAATGAGTAAATCTATAAGTGCGTTAAAACATTGCCCCCATTCACAAAATTTGTTTTCCTCTAAATGTCTATACATAGCGGCTCTTGATAGACCGAGATTCATCATTAACTTCTCCCAAGGTCGCTCGCACTCTCCATTTTTACCAGAGTAAAAACATTTTTTCACAAGATTTCCAGCTAGTCGGCTTAATTGGCGCTCTGTTGGTGTGGCCTGCATTTTGCTTTTATTATTCACTGTTTGCACACTGCTTTGAATGAATACAAATGATAGTCATGGTCATTTCAAACGTTTGACATTAATCTTTGTCCGATAATCCGGCTCAAGTCTCCCTTTGTTCGCTATTCCGGTTCAGGTCTTCCTCTGTCCACTATTCCATCTAGCGGGGTGGGCTGCCCCCTTTGTCCAATACATTTTTTAGACCCATCCCTTGTCCGGTAAAACTTACATACGCCCATGCGCTCTTTTATTATGCTAACATCATCCATCGATATGCTAATTAGTTTCATTGATATGCAAATGAGTCAATTGTCTTTGTGCATTATGCATAACATTCTTTTGTCTTGTCCGATGAAGACCCAACACACTACTGTCATTTTGTCCTGTTGAACACGTTGAATTACTAAACTGTGCCCGCGAATTAAGACTTACATATTATACATTGTAATTGGAATGAGGGATTAACAATACTGTTACGTAATAATCCCCTCCCCCCCCCCCCCGTGAAAGATACAGTGTGCCTCACAAAATAGGTTCTGCAGCAAAAACTACTCAACCGAATCAAGAGATCTCGGTATCATAGATCTTCTTAATAGATTCTCCAATCTCCATCTATTAGTACAGGTGGTTTGCGTCTTAAGGTAGTGGAAGTATCGCCGTATATCCGGTGCTGGTGACAGCTTAAACCTTCAGGTTCATATTGAATAGATTTTACCAGCTCTGTAACTTTTAAGTCCCCTGTTTTGCATGCCACACAGAATGTATACATTACATTGATCGTGCAGTAAACTACCCATAATAAGTTGCATTTCCTCCATATCAGAAATTAGCTATCCCAGTGCTGGTGAATAGGGTGGACAGTACGAGCCAAATGATTGATTGAAGGGGCATGCAAAGAATTTTCTGAGGAACACACTTCGTGCAACTTTCTACTCCTCTTAAATGTATAAAAACTACATATTTGACATCCCTTTTGGTAAATTTGATTGAAAAGTGCACTCCTTTAATTTTTGTCTTTGAACATTTGAAACTGTCCATGCTTTTCCGAACAACTGAGGGCGCTTTACTGTGATGTCATTCCAGGATCGAAGACACTATTCAGTTTCTTGTTCTAATTGTAAATCCAACATTTACTTAAAACATTTGTGGGAGAGGGTTGCTTGATTGGCTTACTGCAACGTACATACACGACAACGGACCACCAAATGGAGAACAAAATTTACGACAGCAAAATATCCAAACTTCTAGCAACATTTTGTGCTGAAAGCAGTTTTCACCCGGAATGACATCACAATTTGGCCCTAGTATTAAAAAAACCAACATAAGCACCAAAATACCCTTTAAAATGGCAAAACAGAATTTGAAAACAATGTGAAATGGACACAAAGGTGCATTTTCAAGTTTTGCATTTTAAAAAATTACATTACGTCCTTTAAAGACTACACGTAATGCTGTCATGGCTGTGACAGCCATTTTCTGTGGTGGCACCAGGCTCCAGCAATTCGCGCTCAGGTACGCACTCCGCGCTCCCTCGACCAATAGGGTTATCAAAACGGGCGCGCACCTCGTCTTCAAGAAAGCGTGTGGCATGCGCGCAGACGTGGAGCCACCTCAAAATTGGCTTTTACATGTGTTCGTCAATTTTAACTACAGGAAGAAAAAGTGAAAGAATATGAACCATACCACAGAGAAATTGATGCAAAATCCCACAGCTGCGGGAATGCCGACGGCAGATGGAATGGAGTGAGGTTTTCTGATGATTATGCGAGGATTGTGGTTTGTTGATTGGTAGCTGCTGGCGGTGTTGTAGCACGGCCCAACGCTCTGGGAAGTAATAGATGCAAGGGATTGCCCTTGAATTTCAAAGCAAGCTCCGCTGTCACGCCGCGACTTATCTTTTAGCAATTTTTTGTGTGGTTTTGTTTTTTAGGTAGCAAAGTTGATAATCTATTCTTTATGAAGCGGACGTTGTGTATTATTTAACTTTTCTTATTATTTTTGTCTTTAATTACTACCATTTAATCATCTCTAGGTTTAGAAAATATTTTATCCTCATTATCTAGCTCAGACCATGTACTTGTACAATTTAGATGTACAATTTATTGTAAGATCCCTTGACCACAGTCCCCGACCCCTGTATGATGGAGGAGCAGAATGCCCTTGAACTTGAAACTTTTTAAGTTCAAATCGAAACCCAGCAGCGCCATCTCAAATTGGAGCAGAAAAGACGAGAAATTGAGCTGAAGGTGAAATATGCCAGAGCCGATGCTCTTGCAAGGACATATGCTGAAGCTGAGGAGGCAAATTCAGAAGTGTGCTTCAAAACAAACCCTTCACCCCAACCTACACCGAAGCACCCTCTGGAACATGAGCATACCCCATTGCAGTTTACACAGCCCAGTTATGTACCAACACCATTCACCATTCCCACACCCGCTGCTGCTCCGCCCTCAACGCGCAGGGTCTATTGTCTAAGATACAAAAGAAGGAGTTTCCATCGTGTCTTGGTATCATATCTCCACTCTTAATTAAAAGAAAATGAGGACCAGTGCTGCGATATTTTTCTGTTTCGATGATTCAACACGATACGCAGTCATCATTTCAGAACCAGACACCAGTTGAGTGAGGCCTGAGAGATGATGGTGTCTGAACGGTTCATCTTTGGCTTGATAAGCCTTCATCTGATCATGGGTTGCACTGGTGGTGACGACATGTGTAAGGCCTCCATTGGTGGTCGTAGAGGGGCGTGTCCTTCTACTTGGATCCAGTGGGGCGGCAAATGCTACAAAGTCATCACTGAGCACCTGACATGGATTGAGTCAAAAGATGAGTGCACCAAGATGGGAGGTGCCATGGTCGTGCCACAGTCTCAGAAGAAAACTGATTTCCTCGTGGCGCTAGTGCCCGAGGCTGCATACCTGTTTTGGATCAATTGCAACGATCTAGAGGAAAAAGGTTTGTTGGAAAAAAATGTTTTAAGGAATTTGTAGGAGATGCAAAAAGAATCGGGAGGCACAAACATTACATAATTTCAAAAAAAAAAAGATCAAAGAGGTTTCGTTTGAAGAGTCATAATTGTTTATCGATTCCTACATCCTCATGTGTTTACTATTTTTTCTTTATTTTTTATCTATATATATATTTTTTATAGATACTTGGAAGTGTCAGGATGGTACTGATGAGGTGGAGTTCAGGAATTGGGACCCTTTAAACAGCCAACCTGACAACTGGGGGCATAATGAGCACTGTGCTGGGGTATGGTCAGGAGGGAAATGGAACGACTTCCAATGTGATACGACACTCCCTGCAATATGCATCCGACCTGCACCACAGCTGCACTTTTAAGAACCCAACGTCATAAACTGGTCAATTATAATCTCCTTGCGACAATAGAGATTCCAAACAGCTATCGAAATCGCAATACAAAAACTCATTCTGACCACTATAGGTTGCCCTTGTCAAAACGCATCCATACAAATGACTGTAAAGATAATCAGTTAGTAAATAATTCTATGTCAAAGTCTTGTGATGTCAGTAAGAAAATGTAATAAATGACAAACGCTGTTTTATTTTAGAACTCAGATCATATGCATCTGCATCTATAGACATTTCTGTCATTGACAATGAAATATTTAGATGTAGAAAGTGCTTATTTGTGAATTTTAAACTTTCCTTTTTATTTAAGGCACAAAATGAAACTGTTATTGAAGTTACAAAGTAATTATATACACCTATATTAAGTTACATTCTTAGAGTTAAAAGGTAGAATTCACCTTTTGAAGCGAACTTCACATCAAATTACCAAAATAAAAGCTGAAAACAAGTATGTTTCAATAATATGATAATAATTATGTGGTCCAAGATTGAATCCAGCAGGCAGCTGAAACAAAAACAGTGAGAAATTGTGAAACAAATTCTTTTTTTCCGGCAATCTAATAAAATGGTACTTAGTAAACGAAACTCCTAAACTGTCTGCAAAGAGTATCAAATCATTTCAAAGTATTCTCTTGCAATCTGCAATCTTTAATTTCAGAGGCGTCAATTAATTCAGGGAGATAAAAGTGATTTTTATTTGAGATTTGGTAGAAATGAGTGATAAGGAGAATCGACTAAAGAGTGTCGGATCCAGAATGTTTCAAAATGAAGTGGGAGGGGCCGGGTGGCTGAGTTTTTTTTTAAGTCCAAGATTTGTCAAAGGGGAGGGAATGAAGGGGCGGATGAGGCGTTGCGGTCAACACATAAAAAGACCAAAGGCCTGAATCAAGATTTGCAATGAGGGATGACGTTATTCTGGGAACTTAAGGACAATTAAGGTTTTTTCTTCTTCATTTGTTCGGGGTGGGCGTGGGGGTTGAGGGTCCCCCTCCTTTTTGATACCTTTTGAAAATAAAGAGTTTATCGGCGTCAATATAATTTTTGGTGACACAGACAAAACTGCAAAAATGAAGTCACGGTGTCCAGATAATCGGCCTTACTATTAAACAGAAAAAAAACATCTCACCTATGTCACACGATAACTCTAAAACTATTTGTTTTATTGGATTGGAATTCTTCCTAGAGGTTTAGCATGACTGGCAACACAAGCAGATTAAATATTGAGAGAAAACACACAGATTATTGGCGTCGATGTAATATTTAGTAACACGGACAAAACCCATCCAAAGTGAAGTCACGGTCTACAGAAAATCGGCCATACTATTAAACAGAAAAACAATCATACCTATGTCACACGATAACTATTTTTTGTGTGTATTTTATTGGGTTTAAATATTGCCTAACTGTTCAGCATGACTGACAACACAAGCCTGTTTAATATAGAGTAAAATTATAGAGTTTACCGACGTCAATATGTATTTTTTGTGTAGGGGGGCCTAACCAAAACAAAACTGCCAAATGTAGTCACGGTGATCAGATAATCGGCCTTACTATTCAAACAGAAAAAAACAATCATAGTATACCTATGCCACATGATAACTCCAAAACTATTAGTTTTATTGGATTGAATTTTTTCCCAAGAGGTTGAGAATAACTGGCAACGTAAGCTTTTGAAATATTGAGAGAAAACACACAGGTAATTGGCATCAATATAATTGTTAGTAACGCGGACAAAACCCATCCAAAGTGAAGGTGTACAGAAAATCGGCCTAACTAAAAATTCGAATCTTACTCAAAATTAACAATTACGGGGGAAAATGTGTCACATAAGGAGTTTCAATTTCGTGATGAACCGTAAATCAACAAAAGAGAGTTTCTTTCGAGAAAGGGCTAGACTTGAAATCAAGTCTGTAATGAGTGGTGTTTTAATCGCGTCTGCCGCGCGCGACTCATCCGCCAAGCTCTGTGCCGGGGGTACGACGTACCGCGTGCTGTCCTAGTAGCGGGGACGCTACGTACATTTTCGACCCCATGCGTGTGCGATCCCATGCGTGTGCTGAATTACAGACTTGAATAACTCGTTGTCAGTTTGTGCACAGGCAATGAGACTTGCTACCAAAATTGGACGGAGCAGTCTGACTGGTTAAGAATCAAGAAAATATGAATATTCAACAGGCATCTCTTAGCCGATGCGTTTTGGCTTGCACGACGACACACACAAGTTTACGTACGTACGTACAGTATACACGTACACACCCGATTATCGCGGCATGTTAGTGTAGTCTTCACCAAACATTCTCAATCGCTTACATCAAATTTCTTCGGATTTCCTATCGCCCAACGTTAAAATGGAGGTGTTGGAAGCTAGCACCGAAAGGTATAGAGGTTCCATTGACCATGGGTTGCGAAAACTCGGGATTTCCAGTGCTCTAAAACCCCAACAAACTGTGGCAATCGCAAATTTCTTGACGGCAACGACACCTTAGCTTCGTGAATCTACCCACCGGGTACTAGATACCAGCTTGCCCCTTTCTGTATCGACTTCATAAAGGAAGGTCTATATCACGTAATGTAGGCATACTTTCTTCACTCACGAAGCCTTTCAAGCTTGAGTAGAATACCGCCACAATATAATTACACATGATTCAACTAATGATGAACTAGGGCCATCAATCAGTGCATAGCGGTTCTGTAACCTTAAAAATGGGCACAAACCGCGAACGAGTACGAGTTCGTTTTCAGGGAGACAGGGTGACCGTAAGGTCATGACTAAATCTGCTAAATGCACTTCAAAAATCTGTCAGATTTATCAAAAATCTGCCAAATTCCCCAGACTTACTCGAAATACACTAAAAAGACCTTAAATCACATGCAGTTGTTATAATATTGCCTTAATTAAAGTTCAAATTACATTTTAAACAATCTATAACCACATAAAGGTAATATGAAATTTCAGGAAAATCTCGTTTTTTAACAAAAAATATGTCAAAGTTTGCCGAAAATCGGCTAAAACGGTCACTTTGCAGGGTGATTAGTTAAACTACAACAAACCACATGGGCCAAAAGGAGCTTACGTTTACAGTCGGCGCGCACTTCATTTTTTGAAGGGGATTTACAATTATTCGTAGCAGTTTCAACTTCCATAATCACTTAAATATTACTCGTTTTATTCAAAGACAGTTGCAAAAGTACCAATATTATCTACAATGTTATACTCTTTTTTTACTGTAATTTCAGAAATAGGACTGCCAAATCAAATGGAAACTTGAAAATGATCGTGTAATAATTACCCCTATATTTATAATGGATATTTCTTCGTAGGCCAGATGGGCTCCTATTGGCCCTCGCTATGGAAACGTCATGCATATGCATTGCAGTGGCTGCATATATGAACATTCGCTTGAAAACGTGTTAGTCAAGTCGTTAGACACGGACTGACCATGCCGCGCGGTAGTACGTGACTTTGGCATGAATGGGTTGTAGCGCTCACGTTGCATGAACGGCGGTGGTACATGTATGCGGATTCTGACGCTGATGACGGACATAAACCACTATAGTCTAACGACTTGTCATCAAGTCTAAGAAAGGGCTCGCTAAATAACACTAGTGGTCTTGTACCAGGACAAACGTGCGCACGTGCCTACTTTAAGTTTCGTTCAATAGAGGGCGCGCCACATAAATAGTGGTGTCCTCCACAAAGCATCAACACGGATGCTGTACAATTGAACAAAAAGATCAAAGTCGTTTTCGAGAAACAACTAAAGAAATACAAGATGTATGAAACTAAAATTTCGTGCACTGATTTTCCACGATGTGTAAAATTAGAAGTTTAAATATCATGGGAAACTGTCGAACAATAAACATAATTATGATCGCAACAGTCAAGTGTGTTAAACGCGAAAAATCCAGGTTGACTTTCATTCGGATTGTATTTGTCGCGCTTAAAACACTATATTGTTACGGTCATAAAAGCTTAATTATTTAGCGGTTTCATGTGAAATTAATCTCCTAATGCTAAACATCATGACAAATCAGTGGGCAAAAATTCAGTGCAATACATCGTGTACTTCTTGAGTAGTTGCCCCCCAAACCGAGTTTAATGGTGGAGATCGAGAACATGTGGCGCGCCCTCTATTGTAAAAAAAAGAAAGAAAAAGATTACAGTAGGCATTGATGCGAGACCACTAGGGTTTCAGACCTGTAAATCGACTCCCATAGACCTAAGTGATAATTACACGTACATGTATTTCCTATTTTCAGTGGGTTTTTTTTAATACTCAAACGCCTTGGAGAGTTGCTCCAAGGCGTTTGAGATACCCATCAAACTGACGAAGCATTTGTTGCGGAACGCCAACACCCCCAGGCGGGAATGTTCCTATTTGGCTGTTTCGGCACTTTTGCCGAAACAGCCTTTGTTTTCGTTAAGATTTTTTTTTTGAGTGGTCGGGCACAACCCGACCACTCTTTGGATCTGTTACAATTAATCTTTCTTTCTTTCTTTCTTTCTTTCTTTCTTTTTTTTTCCGGACAATACTTCTCCGCGGGTTTTCTCGTAAACGGTATATGGTATGAACTTGTAACTTTCAATATATATGGACCCTCATCTGAGGTGGTGCATATTACTCTGACGTCATGATTACGTCATCAGGTGTCAAATTACAAGTGATTTTATCTGAAAAAGTAACTAATTACTTTCACCTATAAATCTTGAACTAAGCAATCAATGATGTTTGTATTCTGTTATCAGATAGATCATTAATCGCTTAACAGTTTTTGTCGTGTACGTGAACTCGCTTGACCTTTACTTCCGGGTCTACCGGAAGGTCAAAGTTAGGTGATTTCAAAATGAAGACGTTAGCCTTACATCAAAACAAAGCAGCATTTCTTCCGAACCGTTCACGGTATGATCACAAAACCTTGTGTGAACTCGTACCATGTTACGAAGATGTTATAAATTTTGTTACGTCATC